TCCCGGGTGGCCCGGTGGGACGGACCCGAGGATGTGGGCGGTCGTCGTCGCGCCGACACCGACGCCTCCAAACTCAGGACGACGCCCAAGGAGTCGAAGGTGAAGACAGGAAGTTTGCCCAGAGGCAGCGGGTGGTACTGCAGCAAATCATCCCAGCTGGACGTCTGCAGGGCTCAGAAGAACCAGCAGGTTCAGGTACGAACTCGTCATCAACCAAATCAGAACTTCAGACCTCCAACCTCGACCTGTTTCTCACCTTCAGGTCCTTCAGGCTCAGTGTCGGACGCCTCAGCCCGGGAAGAGGTTCAGTGTCGTTCAGGGTCGCAGTCGCTGTGCCTCCATGGACGAGGTTCTGTCTTCCAGGTACCGATGTGGTCCCACGGCCACAAAGACGCAAGGCTAACGTGCTAGGCTAACAGATTCAAAGAATGGGTTCCTCTGTTTCCTTCTCCTTCAGACCAGCGATGGTTCGTCCGGATCTCCGTCGTCGTCGTCCCACAGAGGATGAGTCGGTGGGCGGGGCCTGTGAGCAGCCCGTGGCTCAACCCGTGGGTCAGCTGCAGAGTCTGATCGCTCAGAGGATGCAGAGAGCCCAGGAGATGCTGGAGGAGATGAGGCTGCAGGTTTGATTCCTCCACACTGTCCACAGAGTTTTTCACGTGAACAAAGGCTGACGCTGTCTCCTCCGACCAGGAGCTGCAGAAGTCAGGAGCACAGAGACACAGAGGAGGAGGAGCAGGAGGAGGAGGGGGAGGAGGAGGAGGAGCAGGAGGAGCAGGAGGAGGAGGAGGAGGAGGAGCAGGAGGAGGAGGAGCAGGAGGAGCAGGGAGCTCCTCTCACCTCAAGAACCTGGACTCTCCTCGATTGCATCATCTCAGAGGCTGCGACTCTCCCAACGGCAGGTCAGAGGTCACCACAGACAACAGTACCAGTACCTGCTGTGAGACTGAGGTGAAGCTCAGCCTGGTTCAACATCTCACTGAGTCAGGTCCACTGAAACCTGGTCAGCACCGGCACATTCTACAGAACCAGAACCAGAACGTCTGGGTCCCTCTGTTTGATGATAAGAACACGTTGTCTAACTTAGTCCTGGTTTCTCTGGGTCACACCTCGGTCACAATGTTTTGACCTCCTTTCATTTCCGTTTCCTGGTCAGGTCTCCAGGATCCAGGAGCAGGAGCAGCGACTCTCCGCGCCTCCGCCCCAAAGAGTCTCCTCGCCTCCGGGGCCGAGAGTCTCCCAGAACCAAAGCTAAGAAGAATCGATGCAAACGCGGCGACTCGCCGCGATCCAGACGACCCCAGTCACCAGTCGCCAAAGCCAACGCCTCTCCCCACGACTCGCCGCCGTCCAAGATGTCCGACGCATCTGTCGCTTCTAACGACCACGGGTTACTTGCGGAGAAGTCGCCGCAGTCTTCTGTTAGCATCGGAGAAGGCGTCTCGTCTCAGGTTCATTCAGCAGATTCACGTCAGCTTCACGTCAACGGTGACGACAACTGCAGTCATGTGACCGGCAGCCAGGGGTCTCCACGCCACATCCAGGACGCCGTGACTCTCTGTCCGTCTCAGGAAAAAAATGTTGACAGCCCCCTGGAGGACGACCCCCCCACACTGGTGTCACTAGAGGAGGCCGCGCGAAGGCGTGCCGAGGCAGAGCGCCTCCTGGAGGAGGCGGTGTCGTCCTGGAAAGAAGCCCAGGAGGTGCTGCAGGAGGTGAGGGAGCTGCAGAGCCAAACACTGCGACGACAGCGCAGGAGGACGTACGAGAAGATGACGTCACCATCGACCACGCCCGCGACAGAGGAGGAGGACACGCCCTCACCGGTGACATCACCAGAGAACGATGGCGACGAGGCTCCATGACGACGTTTCTTCTTCAGGATATTTTTGGAATCGTCCTTTTTTTTGGCAGGAAATTACGCTAACTATCGTAATTTTGAATTTTCTAAAAACGCACATGTTTACAACCTGTGATTTGTAGGTTTATAGCAAAGCAAACTGTTAGCTTAGCACAAAGACAGAGCAGGGTGTTAGCATAGTTAGCTTAGCCCAAATGGCACTCGACGCTTTTCTTGTCTCCTTCAGTTCTTCCTTTAAAAAAAAGTTAACTAATTTGCGCCACCTGTCTGCTGCTGCTGACACACAGTCACTTTCCTCCTCTAGATGGCGCTGCACAGTGTTGTTAGTGTGGAACTCTTTGATTAGTTGTGAGAAATATTTTTTCTAAAACCCAGTTTTTGTAGCAACAGTTTAAAGACAATCTTTTTCACCAGTGAAGAAAAGTTGCAACGTTTTTACAGAAAAGTCAACATTTCTGAATGAAACAACAGAACTCACGTTCTCAACACGAGGGGCATGGCCTGACACAGATCACCTGTTTGGTCAAATTTGAACATCAGTGTCACAGTGTTGACCTGTGACCTGTACTGCCACTCTTCATCTCTCTCACCGTTTGTTACCTCAAAGTCTCGGCTCCTCTCTGCACATGGCTGCTCTCCACTTGGAATTCAGGAAGTCACCCACAGGCCACGCCCCTTTGCAGCACGACTGCAACTTCCTGTGAGAACCATGGGTGGATGAGAGGGCGGAGCTTTGGTCAGCTGTGGACGATGTTTACAGAGGAAGAGGAGGAGGAGGAGGGCACTGACTTGTTACATCACACCAGGCAGGATCCTGGTTGGTTAATTAATTTTTATTAAGTCATTAAAGTTAAAATTCTCAGACAACGGTACAACTCTCCTTCATGTTCCAAATCCGCTCTCTTCTTCTTCGGTGGTGTTTCCATGAAGAGACTTCTGGAGGATGACCTTTGACACCAGGTCTCTTCTGACTCACGAGTTACAGCAACTGAGCACAAATGTTTTGAAAATGAAAAGTTTTCAAATCTGATTCAAACGGTTAGTGATGTCGCCTTCAGTGGGCGGAGCCACCGTCTGACCAATGAGCTGCTGATGATTAGTTTTGTCCTTATTGTGTTTTCTCTGTTTGGATGTTTTCAATTTGAAACTGTGAGAGTGAAGAAGAAATCAGGTCAAAACATGAGCAACCGTCGCTGACACTCGTGGGCGGGGCTATATTCACCAGGGGCGGGGCTATATTCACCAGGGGCGGGGCCAGGCACTGAGTTTCTTTCTGCATTTAAATGTAAAAAATATATTTTAAAAAATATGCATTTGAAGTTACATTTTCTTGTTAACATTGAACTTTTGGTAAATGTTGAATTGACACGACGTCAGAACAATAACGAGGTCGTACGTCTGCAGGTGATGATGTCACGCATGTTTATTTTAGTGTTACTGTTGTTTTGAACACGTTATTATTGTTGTTATGTTTAAATGTATGCAGACGATTTTAATGTTATCTTTGTGTTTCTGTTAGATATTTGAATCACTGTGATGCATTATGGGTATAAAAATGACACAAACCTTTTTTTTTTCATGTTCACGTAAAATGAAAATAAACCAATCAAAACTGTTGAAGGTTAACATCAGGTTTGGCTTAAAGACACTGAGAATAAATAAATACTAAACTAAATATTTTAAAGTCCATTTATTGTTTTATTATTGCTCACAAACGGACAGACTGATGTCTGGGTCCCTGAGGCCACGGGTCCTCGGTCTGTGTAAATAAATACAAATTCATTAATAAATACTAAGTTCTTTACATTCAGAAAAAGTTACTTAAAAATAGAAAAATACACAAACAATAATAAGTTCTGTTCGCTGTACACACGCCCAGCCTTAGCTGAACACGACGTTTAGACCAACAACATATTTAATCCAAGATATCGAAAAAGACAAGTTCAAGAAAAGAATCCGGAATCATCCCAAAGTGCAGGAAATGTTTGAGCTTCAAAAGAGCTGCTGTTGTTGTTGCTAACGTCGCTACATGGATACGCTAACGTCTGTCAGATTTAAACAATAACACACACACACACACACACACACACTGGGGTCAGTGAGCTGTAGAGCAGATGTAGGTCAGAGAACGTCAACGCTTCATAAACAATAACACACACTGTGTGTGTGTGTGTGTTCATGTGTGTGTTCATGTGTGTGTACTGTTTAAATTATTAACACTGACGCGGTCTGATTCTTCAGTTTAAATCACACACACACACACACACACTCAGTTCTCATCGTTTCCTCTGTCGTAGTAACAGCTGAAGCACGGACTAAAAATATGGTAAAATCAGGACACGGCACGATGATGTCACAGTGATGTCATCAGGATGAGGTCAGAAGCTCAGGTTTGAACAGAATTGACACCAATGAAATTAAAGTCTGACAAATTGTTTTTTCATTTTATTTTTTTATTGAAAACTTTTTTTAAAACACCACAAAATCTTTTTTTTCACAAACAGGACAAAGAAGGGAAACTAACAGCAGATGTCGCTGTGACACACAAAGAAAAACATCTGAAAATGAGCTAAAATTTCAACTAAAAAAACTAAACTGAGCCTAAAACCACCTGAGTCACCTTTGACCTGTTTAAAAACATCACCTTTTGACCCCAATGTTCAAGTTTGGTGCAATACCTCGTTGACCCACAAGGGGGCTAACTTCTGACACTGGCCCATTTTCTTATTGGTTTTATAAAAAAACAAAAATGCATTATGTGACCACTTTTAAAATATTGTGTCTGTTTAAAGAACAAAAGAAATAATTCAGTAAATTGTTAAAAGAATCAATGCAGGCCATTCTCCAGCAGGGGGCGACACAAAAATCTCATATTGCCCTAAGCTCTAGATATTTTTTTTTCCTAAACCCACATTCAGGGTCTCAGTTCTGGGTCTTGATTCAAGACCACTTACTGTACCAGACATGACCTGTAGGCGGAGTCAAAGGTAAAACAAGTTTAAAAGGTGTAAAGAGAGAAAAGCTAAATATTACAGCAGTTTAAATAAAAGTCCAAGCTGCAGGAACAAACTGGACTCAGTGTGGTCCAGTTGATCCTCAGGTGTCATGTTTCAGACTCCGCCTCCTCACCGACTCCCGTCGGGAGGCGGGGTTTGAGGCATGACGTCAACAGATGGCAGTGATTTGATTGAACAAGAAAAAGAGCACACAGATTAAGCTCCGCCCCCAAACCTTCCCTGAAAAATCCCAATATTACATTGGGAAAAAGACAACGGGGGTGCAGCCAGACCAGTTCATGGGATGAAGATTCACAGTCTGGTTTCTGAGGAGAATGCTGGGAACAGAGTTCTGGAACTGGTTTCAATCGATGCTGGTCCAAAGTGTAGGACCTGGGTTAAAGGTCAGGGCTTCTCTGCTCAACATCGTGTTCAAGTTCCTGAACCCGGCGTCTGGATCTGGGTCGTCGGATGTCGATACCAATCCTGCACCGATGTCGTGGGTTTGGCTTCAGTACCGAGTTCTGGATGTGAAAAAGAACTAGAACCCTCTTTGAGAACCTTCAACGCTCGTTCCAGGAGCCGGCTTGGTCCGGACTGTGGTTCAACGGGTGGTTTCATGAGCTTCAACTTCACAAAGTTCTGGTTCTGGATCAAAGGTCTGAGGAACCTGGTTCAGGATGTGGTTTGGGTTAGAATTCAGGATTCAGCTTCTGGATCTGGATCTAGAACTGCTTTTGACTTGGGACTTTTGGAACCAGGTTCCAAATTGGTCCAGAACCTGGTGTTGGATCCAGGATGAAGACTTTCCTTCAGATGAAAACCATGTTGTGGTTCACGGAGCAGGGTCGCAGACCTCTGCTCATGATTTGTTCAAGGACCGTGAGTGGGTCCTGGGTCCAGGTGCTGGAGGTGGACTTCTGGGACAGAAGCAGGTTTTTAAAGGGAACAGTTTATAAAGTTCAGATAAAATCTTCTCTAAAAAAACAAAACAAAACAAAAAAAAAAGACGAGATGTTTCTACTGAGAACTGAGGGAAACAGTTCCAGTACTTCCTGATGTTGGTTCTTGTTCCTGTGGTTTGTGGACTGTGGCTCCACCCGTGGACACACAAACACAAAGAGGACAAACAGAAGACCCTCGCTGTCAAGTCTCTAATCGTCTTCGTCCTCGTCGTCTTCTCCTTCATCCTCCACTTCTCGTTTCCTCTTCTGTCCCTGAACGCCTGCCTGATCGTCTGCACGGACACAGAGACGGAGGACGGACCAATCAGAGAGAGGGGCTCCAAGGAGCAGGACCAAACCAAAAACAAAGCTGAGCACTCACCTTCCTCCTCCTCTTCCTCCTCACCATAATCCTCCTCGTCTTCCTCCTCCTGTAAACAAGAACAAACGTTTACATCAGTGGAACTGGTTCCTGATTGGACGACGAGGTGACATGACGGCTACATTCCTCAAATGTGCAGTGAGAAAAGGCCATTGTTACACAGCGCCCCCTATGCCTCAGAGTCACGATGATCAGTCGGTCAAAGCCAACACTTAAACAGATGTGTATCATCAAATCTTTAGCTCATGAAATTAGCTTTAGCATTAGCCGTTTCGGTGCTAGACGCCTCTCCGTGTCCACAGAAACCATAGCCCAGCCTCACCTCTGCTCCCTCTTCACCCTCCTCGTCCTCCTCATCCTCTTCGTCGTCATCATCCTCATCGTAGTCTCCAGTTGGCTCCGCCCCATCTTCACCGTCCTCATCTAGAGTGGAACACAGTTTAACACAGGAAGCGCGGGTCCACCTGCTGGTACCAGCACAGACCTGGACACTGACCTTCGTCCTCAGCCTCAGAGTCCGGCGCCTCGTTGTCATCCTGGTCGAAGCCGTCCAAGTAGGTGACCTGCGGCAGGAGTTCGAAGACGCTCTCCCTGTAGTCCTCCAGGGACGTGATCTCACAGTTGAACAGGTCCAGACTCTGCAGATTCTTCAGGTTTTGCTGCAGCAGAAAAACGAGCGGTGTTAGCACGTTAGCTGCTACGTGCCGTTAGAAATGTCGGGTGTTCAGGCTCTGACCAGCGCCTCCACGGTGCTCAGCTCCTTGATCTTGTTCCCACTCAGGTTGAGGTAGGTCAGGTTGGGACATTTCTCCGACAGGGTCTCCAGGGAACCCGACAGATTGTTGTCGCTCAGCTCCAGCTGAAAACAGCACAGTCAGAAGAAGAAGAAAATAAACCACCCTGTGTCCTGTCACATGACTTCTTCCATGGTGAATTCTCCATTCTTGTTAGCCTGATTAGTTAGCTTTGTTTATCTTAGACTGATTCCAGACATGGTTACCCCTGACTTTGTTGGTGACATTTTTTTAGCCTGTGCTTTTGTAAAGTTGTCACTCAGGTCTGAAACGTTGTCGTTACCTTGCGTAGTTTGGGCAGTGATGGGAGTTTAGCCAATGAGCTCAGACCCACGTTGACCATGCTGAGAAACTCCAGCTCCTTAAAGTCATCTGTGAGGCCTTCAACCTCTCCATCTGCTGAACGACTGTTGTCCAACACCAGCTCTGCCATCTGATACACACACACAGTTCATACACAGAGTTCAGTGAAGTACACAGTGGGCGGAGCTAAGGAAGGCGAGCAGCAGCAGACCAACTAAACATGTCACGTCTGTTCACGTCATCCATTCACTGATGATGGCAGAACGTAGCCACTCCATGGAGACTGACCACAAGTTAACACCTGGTATTAACTTAGTGACCCCCCGCCCCATGTAAATCTACTCTGTGTCTACCAGCGTCCATTAGAAACTCTCTGGACGTCTGAGTTGTCCTTCATTTGACCTTTCCCCTCTTCTTCCCTCCCTCAGCTCCCTAAAGTAATGCCTTCATTATCTCTGTCCTTTATCACTCTAACCTGCTGCTCATTAACGTTAGCTTCATCTCTCTCCATAACCTTGACTTGATCTATCAGATTTCTGACATTGTTTTCTTAAACTTACAACTTTATTCTCCTCGTGGTGTTGATTTTATGTGTGCTCCAAACAAACAGGTAAAACAGGTGGAAAAAAAACAGGACACCAGAGGAATAATGGTCACTACCCATAATTCCTCTGGTGTCCTGAGCTTATATAAGCTGCAGCTGATACAGTTCAGAGGATCAGAGCTTCAGCCTGAGAGGACATCATCCACCATTACTGAGCAGAGGAAGAGTTTAATCTACACCCGGCTGTGTGTGTGTGTGTGTGTGTGTGTGTGTGCGCACTGAGGGGCGGGGGGTTAGAAACAGATGGCGGGTGTGTGTACTGCCCACACTCCTCCCCCCACAACACGCACACAATTCTTCATAAAACATGACACCAGTAGTGAACAGATGGGGGAAGCGCGTACTCGTGTGTGTGTATGTTATTGAACTGGTTATATAAACACGCACACGCACGTTTCCCGCGCTCACGGCAAAATGGCGGCGCAAAAGCAGCTTCCGCTCAGCGCGTGCTTTATAACCGCCTTCATGTTCGTCGCTGCGCCATTTTGACTTTTAGCGGTGACGCTGCTCTTCCTTTACAAATAATAAATATCAAGCTACATCAAAGTTATTGAATCGCACTCGTCCTCATCCGAAACTGCCGATGATGTCATGATCGTTTCCGTCCTCTCAGATAAACCGGTTACCGTAAAAGACCGCGGCTCACAACGTACTTAAAGCCGCTACAACGAGCATGAGCTCTGATTAAAGCCGAACGACGACCCCTGTTACCGCTGAAGTGGGACCAGCTTAATGAGTATGTCCGGTACTTTCGGTAAAAGTTTTGCTGCACGTCTGTGAGATCGATTTTAAGTTTGAAAAAAAAAAATCCGCTCAGACGGGAGCAGTTGCGTCTGCTGTTGTTATGGTTGAGGCTCAGTTCGTACTTAACCTCAGAGTAAAACTCAGGGTGAACCCAGACTGAAGCCCCTGAAACGTTCTAATCGGCGGATACTGTGTAAACCCACTCCCGGCAGTTAAGTTATAGCAACGATAGAGAAGTGTTAAAAAAACTGATTTAAAAAAGTTTAAAAGAAACCGTCGCCATGACCGCGTCAGCACAACGACTCCGAACTGGTCGAGGATTAAAGCACCTGCTTTAACGTTATAGCGAATATACTCGGTACAGCATTGGTGTAATACCAGTAGATGCGGGAGTAAAGCGAACAATCGCAGAGGCTTCCACATTCAGCGGGGACTGTGATAGCACTAAACCGGGTCAGAAGCGAGTGTAATTGGCTGCAGCATTCAGCTTCTACAATGGCCATAGCAGAGGAGCGCGATATTCCCGGAAGAGAAGGGTTATAAAGCAGGCTCACCTCTGCCGGGCTGCGGCCCCGCAGCTCCAGTGTAACCCTCTTCTTCATGTCCATGTTATCGGGTAAAAAAAAACTCCGTGCGGGCGATGAAGCAGCGGTGGAGGGGATTCAAAACGGTAGCTCCTTCTTCGTTGACCGCAGGTTGCCTACTGATCCTCCATGATACTCACTGCCCTGCCCCCTACAACTAGGCTCCGCCCACGCGGTTTTAAACGTTGACCTACAACTGCAATTGATTGGACAGCGGGTGTGTCAGTCAAATGATTGACGTTGATCCACGACCTGGGCGGGAATGTAATAATCTTTAGCACAGGACAGAGAATCTTGGGAGATGTAGTTAAGCAGCAGAAACTCTGGTAATAATGAAATGAACCGTTTACAAGTGACTAAATGAAAATAAAACCAACCCAAACTTCTGTTTTCTTTTTGATTTACATTGAATAAAACGATTAGCTATAAGGACTTTCTAAGTCTTAGTGCTTTCTAAGATAGTAGAAGTGAAAAATGCCTTAACAGAGAAGGGATGCTAGAAGTTTCCTATATGGATTCTACATAGTAGACCCTTCTCACATTTCTTATAATTACACCTTTTTACTAAATAGTCCTAGAACGACATACTAAAAATATATAAAAAAAACAAAACTAACTTGACTTGCCCATAACCATAATTATTTTGTACCCACAGAACATAACAGATGTGTAAAATAACCTATATTCAAAATAATTTTACTGTTTTGAATTCAGAAATTAAAAAACCTTTATAACAACATTTGTCAATGTGTACATGTATTGTTATTTTAAGGTCAGGCTAATTCTGATGACGACGCTGGGTCGAGGTGAAAAATAAACAGACGTGATCTTATTGGTAAATAAGAAAAACAAAGGTTTATATTCATTACATGATGGCGGCCATGTTTCGTTAGCAGCCGTTACAATGTGTTCGTTCAGGAACAGTTAAAAAAATACACATTTATATTTATATGTACATACAAAAAGTCTGCTTCTCTCTGAATTGAAGAAAAATAACCAGCACACACACACTCTCTCTCACACACACAACTGACAGGAACTCATCGACTACTAAAGATACACAGTGGGGTGGTGGGGGTCAGGGGTAAAGGAAGAATCTGAATGTTGACATTGGAGAACTGAACATTTGGTGTTTTGTGTGTGAAAAATGAAAGAGAGCGAGTGTTGCGTTTGAGGGTAATGTTTCAGTTGGGTGAAAACATCACATTCAGCTCAGATGCATTTAAGGACAGGTGAATGACTCTGGAGAGCTGCAGCCTTGGACATGGAAACTGAGGTATCTCATCAGTCAAGGATATGTTCAGGTGAGACTGCAGGAAACTGAAGTGAGGGATTCACATTCTTCTCAGGGGAATGTGGCGTTCAGGAACAAATGGTGAAAATGTGCCATACCGCTGCTGCTTTATGAAGCACGATGCTAAAATGTGTCCTTACTTTCAGGGTATTAAAAAATGTAACATTCAGATACCAGTTGGTGAAGCCATGTTCATGACATGGTGTGTTCAAGGACAGTTTGGTAAAGCTGAACCACTGCAGTGGGACACCATTATGTTAAGAATGGGTGAAGGTGTTCAGGTAGCGGTGAATGAGGGTAAAAAGACAGGTTCTGAGTCTTCAGTACAGTTGAGAACAATATGAGGGAAGTGTTGTGTTCAGGTACATGTTGAGTCATTAACATTTTCATATGGAAACAGAATAATCATCAGGAAAAAAAAAACTTCATTAAAAACGTTTGTTTACAACATGTTTGACTTTCAGACTAAATCTTGTCAGTGTCCCTAAACGCACCATCAGAGAACAATCACATGCCAGTGAGACGTTCAAAGTCAACTCTTCTACTTCCTCTACTGTGAATTCTGGGTGTTTCTCATTTTTGAAGCCAACACACATGTATTATTGATCAACCAGTACGTGATTGGCTCACTGAACTGTGGAAACTAAAATAGGTGTGAAGGTGTCGTGATGAGACTGATCTAGAACCAGAACATGGACCAGTTTTGTCAACGATAAAAAAGTCTGTGGTTTTTGAAGCAGCCATTCTTCTCTGTACGCTAGGAGCTGACCTCTGTGGCCTCTCCTCCTGCCTCTACCAGAGTCACCTGACCCTCCTCACCCTCCATGATGATGCCTCCCTCCTGCAGCACCACCATCTCACTCTCTTCCTCTACCACACCTGCAGCTGATGGCTCCTCCTCCTCCTCCTCTCCTCCCACCACCTCCTCAGGACTGGCGGCGGCGTTGCTGTTGTTAGTGTTGTTGGCCTGACTCTGAGCCATGGCCTCCAGCTTTATACGGTACTCCTCTGCCTCTTGCTCCTTGCGCAGAAGTTGCTGACGATATTCCTGAGCTTTTCTGTTGGCCTCCTGTAGCTGGCGCTGCAGCAGCTCCTGCAGGAAACAAAAGGGAAAAAAGTAAGACCACCATTGACTTTTTAACCGTCTCTCATCGTCAACGTCCATCTGCACCGACCGTCTCTCCTGACTCGTGGTTGTTGGTCACCTCCAGCTTCCTCTTCCTGGAGGGAGGCGGCTGCGGCTCCTCTGTCACCACCTCCTCTGTAACCGTGTTAGCCGGCACTGCTAGCACTTAAAAACAATAAAATCTTGATTTAGCAACATCACCACAACACCAATCCAATAAAGTTTCCAGGTCGTTGGCCTACTCTGCTGTCCGTGCTGCATGGTGACAAAGAACGGCTGTGTCATTCCTCCGGAGGTCTGCAGGTTCCCGTGCTGGTCTGTGACGATGGTGATGACCCTCTGACCTCCCTCATTTACCACCGTGGCGTGCTGGATGTTTGAGTCCAGAGCGCTGGCTGCCATCGCCTCCTCCGACTCTCCTGTGACACAAAAAAGACCCAGAGGTCACGGAGGCTGTTAGCTACAACCCACCCTGAGATTTGGGTGTGCTGCAGTGTTAGTTACCAGTTTGGCTAGCTAACTTATAGCTTCAAATATTACCTATGAACAGAATGGCATTATTTACAAGTAAATAATTGGGTAGTTATTTAGCATTGGTTTAAAAAAAATGCACAAATTTAGCTATTGTTAGGTTAACCTTAGCCTGAACGAGAACAGATAGTACTAAGAGGGTTAGCTTAGCAATAATAGTGACTTCAAGGCTAATGTTGTGTATGTTTGTTTTTTCTTTTTCTTTCTTCAGCTCGTACCAGCGTTGGCCTTGTTGAGCAGATCTGCCAGGTTGACCACACCCCCTTGGATGGCAGGAATCCCCTGGATGATGAACTGTGGTTGGTTGTTGCTGCTGGTCTCCACATTCATGTTCACCTGGTTCACATTCACCTGGTTCTGCATGCCCTCCTGAACACACACAGACACATGTCACTGGCTCTTTGGTTTTCACCTGACCATCAGTAACAGACCCATCACGTGGCTGCGTCCTGACCTGCAGCAGCAGCATCAGCTCCGTGTTCTGGATGTCCACTGCGATGTCGAAGGGTGTCTTGTCAAACTTGCTGAGTGCGTGAACATCGGCTCCATGTTTGAGGAGCGTCTGGGCTACGTTGTGGTGTCCATGCTGGGCCGCCCAGTGCAGCGCCGTCATCTTCAACATGTCTTTGGCGTTAATGTCAGCGCCACTCTGTGGACAGAACCAAAAGAAAATCAGACTTCCATGGTTCCATAGTGTATCCGTTCAGCATGTCTGCACTGCAAGCCTCTCAAGTATTTAATGGTAATCGTTTTCTTAGTTCATGTTAGTGTGTGTTTCTTTTCGTACCCGGACCAGCAGCTCTACAATAACATTATGTCCCTCAGCGGCTGCCATGTGCAGCGGTGTCCTGTCCACCTTGGTGCGAGCATCTCTGCTGACACCGGCTCTGAGAAGGACGTCAGCGGTGGAGTAGTGGCCATGCTGAGCCGCTAGGTGGAGCGGTGATGTTCCCAACTACAAGAAACAAACACAAAATACACACTGATGTCCCGGCTTAGTCCTGCATTTTTACTATTATCAATAATAAAATAATCCTATTAACTTATTGTTTACGTGAAGCATTAACATTTCTCCCTGGTTATAGAATCAATGTCACCATGTTTTAACTGAAGGCTTTTGCTTGATCTAAACAGATGGAGATGATTCTCACCCAGTCGGTGGTGAAAGGAGCGCCGTTGGCCATCAGGTTTCTGACCTCATCATCCTGACCTTTACGAGCTGCGTCCAGCAGACGTTTCCCCAGGTCCATAAGAGACATCTTATGAACACACACAAAGACAACGTCAGCGTATGTGTAAAATTAAAGCAGCAATTCAAAACTGAGCAATTAAACGGTACGACTGAAAGAGCTTATCTATGTGCAAAGCCATCAAATTTAAATTTCGTTATCAAATTTTAGATTTATTTCGGTGAGTGAACCCCATAAACCTTTATTTGTTCTCAAGTAAATAGGAGTACATACTCAACATATTGTACTGGTCAGCAAAAATAATCTAAGCTTTTATTTAGAGCTAGTATACACATTCTTTACATTTAAAATATGCTTAAATGTAATTGCTGAACATTGTGAAGCAGATGTGAAAGTTTTAAAGTTTTATTTGTACGCAATTGTTTTATTGTAAAGCTAGAAAATTGGCTAAGGCTAAAGAAGTTAGCCCGCCGTCTTTGTCCGATAATGGATCACGGTTTCTAAACAGCAAATAGTGTGGCGCTAGACGAAGTTTTACTGGGGAGCCATTTTAGGCGCCTTCGATAACAGAAAAGATTCCGCCATGAGCTGCGGCTCAGCGCTTTGTTGTGCTCGTTCAAAACACCGTAAATACCGGCGATGTTCCGCCACATCACGGCTCTTCATACCGACAGGAAACCATTTGATGTAAACTTGTCGGTTTTTCCGGGGGAAGTCGCGCAGAAATTTCCGATTTTACACACGAAGGTGAAAAAACTACTTCCACATCCGGTTTTAACGGGCTTTCTTCAGCCAGAGCTTCACGTCGCTTATTTCTCAGCCGTTCACAGCTTGATATCGGGGTTAATATTTTACAAGAAACTTCGACAAAACCTGCGATTTAGAGGGGACTCAAGTACTCACTGTGTCCGGGAGTTGGAGTGAGGAGGAGCCGCTGGTACTCTGCTACACTGCTACGCTCTTTGCTGGTGTTAGCTCGTTAGCCGCTCAGCCACACAAGCAGCTTGACTAAAGCACGTTTTTTAAAATTTGGTTTGTTCCGTATGAATGTACAAAAACACATTAAGTCGCATAAATTTAAACCGCTCTACAAGATAACTACGTACATCAACACGGGTTCGATTTTTTTTCCCTCCCTAGATTGTTTTCTGTGGAAAGTTACCAAAAGGAAAACGTTGCCGCCCGCCACCAGAGCTACCTTCAAAACAAAAGCACGTGTTTTTGCAAAACGTTCAATGTAACAAATGAATTGTCGTGAAGACTGGTTAATGCCAGGATAGCTAAGGCTTACAACAAGAACGTGAGATATGAAACCACTGAACTAAAATGCTAAGACATTTTCAGTTTTGTTCGGCATTTCTAAATGGGTTTGTTATATAGCTAATTATGTTACAATATTACTGTATTTTAAAATTAACTTTCAAAAACAAAAGTATGTTATGTTAATAAAGAATCTTAAAATCTATCCATTTTAAAATGTTTATACAAACTAAATGCATTTCCAGTTTTATTTAATAAAATCAATGTTTTTATGATTTTGTGACTTTCAGTCATTATAATCAATATGTTTTGTCAGATGTGTTTAAATTTGAGTTATACTAATGCTAATATAGCCTGTCTTGTAAAATGACCACACAATCGATTTTCTTGTGGCATTTATTTAAATCCCGATTTTGCTTTGAAGGTCAGGACAGGAAGCGCAGTGTCTGAGTGCTGATGTTAAACAGCAATGCTTGTGTTAGCCGTTACCCTGGGTCCATGCAGACTGTTATTAAATTAAATCAAAACAGTCGTTACCTTATTATATTTTCTCGAATTCTGGACACTCTACGTCCACTTACGTCAGCCAAAGTTGGACAGGTTTTACCTGCCGGAAAAGAGGTTGAAAATACTAACTTCTAAGTTGTTTTTCTCTGCAACAAAAATGGCGGCTCGGCGACACCGGAGGTGGAAGCAGAGTGAACGTTAACCTCCCAGTGGGCGGGAACTATAAGCGGGAAGAGACCACTGACCTGAGGTCAGTTAAGACAGCGGAGTCACGGTTGGAGAACGGAGGCATTCGCGGATCAGAGACCAGCAGAAACTGGAATACGTGTTCAAAAAATTTCAAATGCATTTCAAATGATTAGGTGCCAACAATAGCAGTTGATGGTCTGTCAAACAAAATTAACTAACTTTAAGCTAAATTATTTATATTTTTTTCTCATAATGACAAAAGTGAACATTAAAGACTGAAAAACACCAACAATTAGAAACAGTAAAAATAAAATAAAACAAGGTGTTTCTTTTAACTGGTCCACTTTGAAAAGTGCAATCAATTGTTGTCTGGAGGAACTGAGGTATTTAAAGCTTTTATCCAATTAACATTGAGCCTGTATGTGAAAAAAGTCTTAGCAGAGCTCACATGTGACTTCTGTCTGAAAAATGGAGCGCAACAGAACCCAAAGACCACAGTCCCACAGGTAAACACAGAGGATGAAGTATATTTCAGTGGGAATCAGCCAAGGGTGGAAGAACCAATAAATAAAGAATATGAGACTTCAGGAAAAAAAATGAACAATGATAATAATGATAAACAAAAACCTCTGTTTTTTGGGGGATGATTTATTGGGATTTTATTGTTGACTTTTTGGCAGCATGAGGAACAATCATTAACAAAGTAACATAGCAGCAAAGGCACAAAATAAATTTAAATAAATCTATCAATAAATAAATCACTATCAACAAAAAGCTGACATATAGATTTCATGGTTTGTTCAAAATAAACATACAAAAAAAAAAAACAACCCTCAAGTTACAGCAACAACAGCAGGATGTTCCTCATAATCTCACAAAGATTCTAGAGCAGCAGGTTGAGGTCAGCGAGCAGAGAGTCCACATCTGCAATTGGAGCTCTCCAGTAGTTAAAGGAGGAAAACTCCAGAAGCTCAGTCTGGAGGAGAAGAGGAGTGAAGGAAAAGAGGAGTAACACAGAAAGTAGTAAAGGAGGAGAAGAGGAGGAGGAGGAAGAGAAAGCCTGGCGTTAGTATATCTACCAGATGAATTAAAGATGACAAGAAGTTACTATACATCTCCCCCTGGTGGCAGAGAAAGTAATTACACCCTGCAGTTGAGGTTCAGGCGTATTTGTCGTCCGAAAATAACTAGGCCTATGGGTTAGTTAAAAAAAGTTAAATAAATTACAATAACAAGGGACACAGTAGTTTAAGAACACCATCAAATATATATCGGGTTCAAGCTGTATAAAGTATATATATACACACACACATATATACATATGCATATACACAGGTGGATACTGTATAAACAAATACAAAAACTTTAAATTCCCTCACCTCATTGTCCAGTCCTCGAACTTTAGAGTTTTTTCCTTTTCGATCACTCATGTTATCCAAGTCAACCAGACCCAGTTCTTCCAGGTCAGAAAGATCCAGGGTGGGGATTGGCTCCCTCCAGAAGAGGAAAGAGTCGTATTGGCTGCTGGACCTCTCCATCATCTTCTCAACTACAGCAGTTCACGTGTTCATGTTTTGAGGATTTAGAGGAACAAAAAAACAAAAACAAACAAACATTAATTGCAGTAAAAAAAAAAAAAAAAAAAAACATTAATTGCAGTCGAGTTGTGACTGCGATGATGATTGGCAGCTGAAATTATAACTAGACACACGTTTATCTCATCATCATCATCATCATCATCATCATCATGATCATGATCTCGACCCTATATTTACAGTGCGACTCACTTCAATCCAGAATAAAACACGATTATTTTTAATCGCTAGTGTAACCTGATTTCTCTGATATAAATAAACGACAAACCAAACCTCGTTCTTTTTTTCAACCGTTTTCAGGTTCGGGTGTTTCACTGCATCACCAATGGCGTAAAAATCCGACATCACAGCTGGTAGTTACCACGTGATTCAATCGGCCGATTTTCTTAATCGCTTATTGACATGATTATTGCTCGATTTACTGATTAATTGACGAAATGACGAGGCTATTTGGGCGTTGCCCCAGAATTCTACCTCAGGTTTTATTTTTCATTTTGTAAATTACTCTTCCGTTACATTTACATTTCATTATGTCTTATATGAGTGTTTTTCTGTTTTTAACGTTTTTTGTATAGTCCCTATAAATAGGCAAATGAAAAGACAATGATTTATATTCGTATTTAACCGACAACAATAAATGAAAACCCTGAAACCTCACAAACAAAACGATTACGTGAACAACACATACCTGTGTGTCTTAGTTGTGGTTCGTTTGTCTTGTTTTTTTGTACCGGTTCTGTGTTCGGCGTTATTGTTCTGGCACTGCCGCTGACAATGATGGCACTGTGGATCTGCGCATGCGTTATATCTAAAGACTTCCGGCCTGAGATATCATGATAAAAGGCCATTGAAAGCGTTTCCCTTTAACCCTGTTTTCTTCTAAATTCCTTTTTTTTTCTTCTTAAGATTCTAAGAATAAAGTTCGTTTCTTACCACGACCACGCCCCCATTAGAGCCGATATTTTTCACTACTTAATTATTGGTACGCCAGAACACACAGTAAAAAAACAAACAAACAAACAAAAAAAAACAACCCTTACTTACATAAAAAGTGTTTGCAGAATATAAAGAATAATTATTTTTTTAATCATGTTTATTTTGACCCTCTAATATTACACCTCAATTCAGATGTAAAACCTCTTATTTTGTCAGCGTACATATATTTGTTATATATAATTTCAGTCGCGGTAATTAATCAAATGTACTCGTAAAATAGCGTGTTTTTTTTCGTATTTTCCAAAACTCTTGTCAAACTCAAATATCTTAATACGATTATTCAAAATTTAAATCTTTGCTCGTCTCCTGCTCTGCTTGTAGATGAGCTGTGTTAACAGCAGGGGGAGTAGTTTGACCAGGAGATTACAGGGGAATAAAAAGAAGGGGAAAAAAACTTTTTTGTTGGAGCCACACCTCAGAGGGCGAGAGAGGGAGAGAGAGAGGGAGAGATCCAGAGAGAGTGAGAGCTGGTTAATGATCTCAGGGAACAGAGTTGAGTGTTTCAGTCTCCGCGATCACAACTGCTGCTGCTGCTGCGTGAGTGTGGTGAGTGTTCTCTTCTTTTTATATAACACTAACACACACACACACACATACACACACACTGAGGGTTCTCACTCCATAACATGACTTTTTCTGTCAGATTACACATTCACATGAAAGAGAGAGAGAGAGAGAGAGAGAAAGAGTGAGTGAGAAAGAGAGAGGGAGATAAAGTGTGAACAGACTTTGAGATTTTTTTTTCTCTAAAACATCAGACAAGTAAAAACGTTTCTAGACTTTCTTTTACATTAATGTTTGGTTTCATCCAAAAAGTTAAAAACGGTCTCTGCTCAGCTAAACTAAACTAAACTAAACTAAACCCAGCTTGTTAACGTTCATGTTTTGACACTAGACTCGTGAAAAGGCGGCACATCTGGAGTTCTGGACTGGTGTCGACACAGCACCAGTGTGGAAGTCATTTCTGTGACCTGTCACTTTCTGTTTGTGCCAAAGTCCTGTTCCAATACAGGTCAAAGGTCACTCTGGGCTCCGACTCGGAGGAAATTGAGACGGTGAACATCAGTACAACACAGAGTGTCAGAGGCAGCATGCTAACCTCTGATGTCATCTCCTGGTCTGGCTCAGAGTTAGCACTGGGTTTAGAGTTAGCGTTAGTCATAGCTAAACCAGCTGTACCTTGTTATTCATCCAGTCTCAGTGACTGGACTACATTTTTGGTTTTTACAAATAATATAATCTCATTGGACGAGGTCCTGTATCAAACATGAGTTTGATTACAATTCCATATGAAGGAAAGGATTTAACATTTATCAAAGCTAAGCTAGCCACTGTATGCTAAAACAGTGTCTAGGGATTCTGATGAAAGATGTTTCCATATGTATTTGTTCATCTTCGACTCTTTTACACCCCCTTGTGTCCACAACAGACGCTATTACCTAGCGTAGCTTCGCTTAGCACCAAGTACAACCTTTAGTCGCACATGTTAGCTGAAACAATCCAGGGCTTCACAAGTTGCAACAACAGTAGTTAAAATGATAAAAGTGGGCTGAGTCTCAGGCTTCACAAGTTGCAACAACAGTAGTTTCAGAGGAGATGATAAAAGTGGGCTGAGTCTCGTCCAGGAAGTAACTCGGCTTTTACTGTCTGGACTATGACCTCAGTGTTTGTGTGTGTAATTTATACACACACAAACACACACACAATCAATAGAGCAGAAGTTTAGGTAATCATCCATCCATGACATCCATCCATGACATCCATCCAGTATCTATCTATCAATTAAAGTTATTTATTTACACAGTCAGCTACAACTAAGCTAATCTGAAGCATAGCGTGACCGTAGCTTAGCTACTGAGTGAGTAAAGCTACGTTAGCAGCAGATAAACGTACCAATCCTGAGAACTTCATTATTTAGTTAATAAGGTTAGCTACAGTGAGCAGAGCTAAGCTAAACTACTTGGTGATTAGAAGCTACGCTATTTAGTGTGAAGAAGCTAAGCTAACCAGTGTCTCTGTCTGTTCTAACATGTGAACGTTAGAACCGTTAAACTTTTTCCAGGAGGAATGAATGAAGTTCTTTGTGAACCTCTCTCTCTCTCTCTCTCTCTCTCTCTCTCTCTCTCTGTCTCACCTACTGTGGTTTCAAAGTCTCTCTATCACCCCCCCCACCCTCCATCCCACTTGAATTTATGTAAAAACATAAATCAAATCCCGCACTTATTCTCAACAGACAGGCAGAGTCGCCCCCTGCTGGTTTAAGACATGCATTAAACTGCTTCCTGTCTACATCTTGAACCTCAGTGTTTGAACCAGCGTCTGCGTCCAGACAGGAGGAAGTCATGTGACTGTGACTGACAGACGGGGTGATGTTGTTGTTGTTGTTTTCAGTCTGATGATGCGTCAGCTGATCATTGGTTCGATAACAGCGTCAGGTTGTTGTCTTCACACTCACGTGCTCATGTTGAGGACATCAGGGGACCTCCTGGAGTGGGGATCCCTGTGGATCTCCTTGAACCTCCCAGGATCCTGACAGCTTCGGTTGGAGGTGCAGTGATCTTCTCAGGGGTTGATGCTTCATGTCTTCTGAATGGATCATCTGGAGCCTGGGGCGGTGAAAGTGAATTCTTCAGAGAGGAAACATGAGGCTGCACGTTTCTGTCTGTCACATTCTTTCTCTACCTGAGACCTGACGCAGTCCAGACTGGTTCTGCTGCAGGACCTGAGACCAGGACCTGAGACCAGGACCTGAGACCAGGACCTGAGACCAGGAACCAACAAACAGAAGACCTGCCGACTAGTTTCTGGGACTACAGGTCTGGACTGGAGAAGACAGACCAGGACCACAGACCAGGACCACAGACCAGGACCACAGACCAGGATGTTGCCAGATACTCCACCAGGACTAGAGGACTTCAGGACTTGGACCTGTATTTGGAGCCAAGGTTCAGTCCGAGGGTCTCAGGGTGCTGTCACTGGGTCCTCGGTCCACAGCAGAGGTCACCAACAGGTGCTCCGTGGTCTGGATGAACCAGCTTCTCCAGTTACTATGGTCCAAATTCAGCATTGACACCGATCAGCCAATCAAGACGCAGCATTCCTACACACAAAGACTGGACTGTCAGTGGGTCAAACAGACAGAGAGGAGAGAAAACACACACACACACACACCTCGATCATGTGTGTGTGTGACCAGTCGTTAACAATTTAAAAATGAAAAAATAAAAAAAGACCAAAGTAAAAAGAATCTCATCAGTTGTTTCTCTGTGTTTGCAGATAAAACCTCATCATCAAACCAACACTTTTTAAATTCATTTTTTTATGGTTTCTGCTCCTGAATTTCTTTATATTTTTGGGAGTCACCTGTAGAGCTCAGTCTTCAGAGGGAGTTTTTTTTTTTTTTTTTTTTTTTTTTGCCACTATTCTGTTCATCTGAATGCCCAAGGATTTTCTCTCGGCTGCGGTTCCTCATCCGGCCTGCAGGGCGGGAGCAGAGCGTGGCAGCTGGCAGCTGGAGCAGCAGCGTGTCAGCATGAGCGACTTCTGGCACAAGATGGGCTGCTGCGTCGTTGCCAAACCACCGCCGGTAAGTTGGCTAGTTCAGCTAGCCTCATATAAAGCATATTGTAATTATCTACAACTGTTTTTAGCTTTTAGCTTTGTGTTTTTGAAACACAATATTTCCGGCCTGTCCTAAAGATTTTGGCTTCCGTACCTTTAGCTTTCTGCGATCGCTCCCGCTGTTTTAATGGCTCCAGGTACGATAAGAAAAAAAACCAACGCATTCGCTAGTTCCTCTATTTCTATTTGTTTCCAAATGAAGTCTGACCTGAGGAAGTTCACTGAAAACACCAACTTCCTGTTTCCCTCTGACCTTTGACCCTGGGAAGGTAGCTGCCCACTTCCTTTTCTCTCAGTCTATTCTGTTTTCTTCTTCACGTTTATCACCTGAGTTTGATGCTATGAAGATGAAGATGAAGATGAAGATGAAGATGAAGATGAAGATGAAGATGAAGATGAAGATGAAGATGAAGATGAAGATGAAGATGAAGATGAAGATGAAGATGAAGATGATGATGAAGATGAAAATGAAGGTGAAGATGAAGATGATGAAGGTGAAGACTTGATGTTAAACATTTTCAGGACAGAGAAAAAAGACAACGTCAAATGTCAAAGGCTGAGGAGCTAAAGCTAACCAGGGTTGATGGTGGTTGACAGGTTAGCGTTAGCCTAGCCAAATTAGTTATAGATGATTCGACTGTTTAGATTAGCCAACTGAAGGTTAGCCAAACGGCCAGTAATCATTACTGTGTGTGTGTGTGTGTGTGTGTGTGTGTGTGTGTGTGTGTGTGTGTAGAAGAAGAAGAGGAGGAAGCTCGATCGCACAATGATCGGAGAACCAACAAACTTCGTTCACCTCACACACATCGGATCAGGAGAGATGGCAGATGGACTGCAGCCGGTGTGAGTGTGTGTGAGTGTGTGTGTGTGTGAAAGAGAGAGAGAGAGAGAGAGGAAGAGGAACTGCCACTTCCTTCTGGTATTTTAACATCTGTCAGCAGCTGCTTCTCCAACTCTAGTATGCTAAGTTAGCTTAGCATCAACATTTACTAACTGTGGACCTGGTATAAGGTCACAGTGTCCATTTTTTATGTGTGTAAAACTGTGTGTGTGTGTGTGTGTGTGTGTGTGTGTGTGCATATTTTCCAGTCAGGTTCCGTTCAGGAGCAGATGAGATCAAAAGGCCCAAACAGAAGCAGTCTGTTATAGCAGGTACACACACACACACACACACACACACACACACAAAGATCGACATAAAAATATTCAACCACTGACAAAGGTTTTGATTTGAAAACAAACTGAGCCTTTAAACAAATACATTAGCTCAAAGTGACGGCGTGTGTGTGTGTGTGTGTGTGTGTGTTACACTGACTCATTTGACCTGTTTTGTCTTACACCCTCAGGGGGCGCTGTGACTGTGTGAGCACAACATCCAGAAACACAAGGTCTAAAGACTGTATTTCCCACAATCCCTCTGTGCTCCGAGGCCACACTCGACCACACCAAAGACTATTCCTGACCAACCTTTGACCACCGTGTGCCAGATGGTCCGTCTGGACTACATTACCCAGAATACTTCACTGTTTAGCTCCCGCGCAACTCAGCCTTACTGTTGGTGACAGGAAGACCTGCAAACACTGGACTCTGTGTGTGTGTGTGTGTGTGTGTGTGTGTGTGAACATCATCATGCTGATGTCGCTGCAGAAGCGTCACTGTACCAGCTGTAGCAGCTGCTACATTTAGCCAGCTAGCATAGCTGAACCTAATTTGATGGTAATGTTAGCTTTGCCCCTCCTCTCTTTGCCCCTCCTCTTCCTCCCCCCTCCTCTTCTTCCTCCCCTCCTCCTCCTCTTCCTCCCCCCTCCTCTTCTTCCTCCCCTCCTCCTCCTCTTCCTCTGAAGCTCTTGCAGAACATTTTCCTGATTGAACACAGAAACATCAGATCCAAACTCCGTTCTTGTTTATTTTGTTGTTCTTGTTTATTTTGTTGTTCTTTTGTTTATTTTGTTTGTTCTTGTTTATTTTGTTGTTCTTGTTTATTTTGTTGTTCTTGTTTATTTTGTTGTTCTTGTTTATTATCAAACACACATTTTTATGACGACTCTACGTTTGTCACGTCAATAATCGTTAATTATCGATCACTAAACATTTCTGCAAAACACTTTGTTGTTGTTTTTTTGGTTTGCATGGAAACTGCAGTTCCTCTGACTGCCACCAGAGGCTCCACTCCCTGTTAACATGTGAGTGACTGAGGTTCGACCAGGTGACGCTGACGACGATGGGAACTCCACGGGGATTTTGTTTAAGCCACAAAATGTTTCTATCTCGAGAATGAAACGGTAAACGTTAGCTAACGCAACGTCGTCTCTTTAGCTTCGGTGACTTTCACGTAAAAGTCTGTTATTTTAATGTTTAATGTTTATTTTCAGTCTGTTGTTTTTGGCTGTTTGCTGTGAACTGATAAAGTCGACAGTTAAAGAAGTCAGAACAGAATGTGCCGGAAAAGACTGAAAAACATTGTTAAAAAGTTAGAGAGTTTTACACACACACACACACACACACACACACACACACACATGTTTGAACAAATTTAGTCCAAGTGTTCGTGCGTCTGGTGAATTACCGTTGACTCACTGATGATGTTGGTGGCAAAGTCACGTGACCAACGGGCTGTGATGTCACACTCAGGTCAACGTCATGTTTTATTACAAGCAGCTGCAGAGAAACCACAGAGCTGTGTGTGTGTGTGTGTGAGTGTGTGTGTGTGTGTGTGAGTGTGTGTGTGTGTGTGTGTGTGAGTGTGTGATTCACCATGGCAACAGCTCCGAGGCCAGGAAACAACAGGAGTGGAAAAATTAAAGATGTGGTTGATGTTGACTTGTCGTTACATGTGTGTGTGTGTGTGTGTGTGACGTCAGGCTGAGTTAGAGTTGGGTTTCAGTTAGTCTAACCGTTAGTTTTTGTTAGATTTATCTTTAGTTCTAAGTCTAAGGTTTGAATTAAGTTGTAGCATCAGAGCTAATGTGCTAACACTCACTCACACACTGGAGCTAACAAAGAGCGGAGGCTGAGGGGAGAAGCTAACTGTTGCTATGGTTTGGAGGAAGGTTTTGTTTTACATTAGATTTTTTATGGAGGAAGGTTTTGTTTTACATTAGAGTTTAAAAAAAAAAAGTTCACCCTGGGTTCAGGGTTTGTCTGTTTTTTTGTTTTTGTTCGGACAGATTTCCTAAAAAAAAGGAATGACATCTATGACATCAGCAGTTTGTTTCACAACAGGATATGAAGCGTCACTGCTAACATGCTAACATGTCTGAGTCTGCATCTGTCTGAGTCACAGAAGTGGGAATGTGCTTTAGCTTAGCTTAGCATTACAGGCCACGGAGAACGTCGGTGACTTTAGCTCACTGTTGCTAGCTGCTACATTTAGCTGACTAGCATGGCTAATTTGATGTCAGTTTCCTGTTTTTCTCCCTCTGTTCTTCTTCCTCTGTCCCATTTCTTTTCCTCCTTTGTTCTTACTTCCTCACTGTTTTTTCTTTTTTCTTTTGTTGTTGTTGTGACGACTGTATTTGTCGACTGACAAACTCACAGTGAATTTTCAGAAATGTGTCGGGAACATAATCTCTGATGACTTCAGCTGACACAACGACCACTGTCTTTTGTCGAGGCCACTTTTAGCAGCAGGGGGCGCTCACTCCCCTCAGCCAAATACGTCCACTGCCTCACACGTATGGACATATTTAGGTCCATGACACAAACCTTTATCAATGTTCTGGAGACTTTTTATAACTGTATGAGTCATGTTTCTGCTCACACACACACACACACACACACACACTCTCACACACACACACACACACACACACACAATGTAGACTGTGTTCCTGTTTATTGAGTTTCCTCTGCGGTGACCTCACTTCCTTCCTGTCAGGCCCCATTTTCCTGAGCAGCCGCTGGACTTTTACAGACCGCTCCGTCACACACACACTCTCACACACACACACACACACACACACTCTCACACACACACACACACACACACACGCACACACACACACACACACACACACTCAAATGCAGAAAGGGTCCATTTTAATGAGGTTTATTTTAAACAGGAAGTTGAAGTGAAGGAACGCGTGGACACCGTCACAGACGTCTGCTGGAAACTGACCGGTGCTCAGGGGTCAAATGATTGGAGGGAGGGGGGGGGGGGGGGGGGGGGGGGGGGGGGAAAGGGGGGGCTTTTCAAATCACTGATAGAAGATCAAAGAAAATATTGTACAAATACTGCCCTGATAAAACTACTGCAGGCGTTCACGTGTACTTTTGTTAGTATTTGTCCTTAAAAACACGACGTCATCTTTCTACAACGTAAACAACTGAAATGAAATGAAAAACCAGAGAAGAAGAGACGACGTCTTTGAACCTGGAGTTACTGTGAACATGATGATGATGATGATGATGATGATGATGAAGGCACGTGTGTGTGTGTGTGTGTGTGTGCGCGCAGTAAAGCACAACATCTGGACGCGATTTCATCGGGACAGAGTCTCATCGTACCTGCGGACGACACAAACGTGACATCGTGAGAGGAGACTGTGATGTCATTAGTGATGTCATCGATGTGCAGCAGAGATACTCACTGTCGGACACAATCTGGAATTTGCAACTGGTCCGTGGGAATGAACTCAGAAAGTTCCTGAAGGCTGTCGGCAAACTGGAGCTTCCTGCTAAACTTTGAGCTAAAGAAGTTTAAAAAACGACGAAGATTTATGGTTATTTTATTATTTAAATGTATTATTCAATTAACAATTGTTAGCTTTAGGTTGGCAGGTGGTGGCTAGCAGCTGTAGGCTAGCAGCTGTAGTGAGCAGTAGTTAGCAGCTAAAGTTAGCGGTAGTTACAAGCTAGATTAGCGGTAGTTAGCAGCCGTAGTGAGCAGCAGTTAGCAGGAGTTAGCAGCTGTAGTTAGCAGTAATTAGCAGCTAAAGTTAGCGGTAGTTACAAGCTAGATTAGCGGTAGTTAGCAGCTGTAGTTAGCAGCTGTAGTTAGCAGCAGTTAACAGTAATTAGCAGCTAAAGTTAGCTGTAGTTAGCAGGAGTTAGCAGCTGTAGTGAGCAGTAGTTAGCAGCTAAAGTTAGCGGTAGTTACAAGCTAGATTAGCGGTAGTTAGCAGCCGTAGTGAGCAGCAGTTAGCAGGAGTTAGCAGCTGTAGTTAGCAGCTCTGGTTAGCAGTGATTGTCTGTTATTATAGTAGGAGTTAGCAGAATCTTTCAATAGTCAGCCTTGGTTAGCAGCCTTGGTTAGCAGCCTTGGTTAGCAGCCTTGGTTAGCAGCCTTGGTTAGCGCTAGTTAGCAGTAGTTTTCTGGTGACAGACCTGATGAAGGGTTTGATGATAGTGATCAACGCTTTAATGTACCAGGTTGGATGAACAACGTAAAAACCTTTCAGGTTCTTCCTCAACCTACACACACACACACACACACACACACACACACACACACAGAGCATGTGTTTAAAGAGTGAAGCGCTGTCGACCCCTGGTGGGTAGAGTCTGAAACAGCACAGATGGCTTCAAAAAGGTGAGAGACATTTGATTGACAGCTGTGCTTCTCACCGTCTGTGGATGGTGGTGTAGCACTCTCTGAGCCAGCTGAATTCTGGGAGTTTTTCTTTCTGACCACCAGCACAAAAATAGACCATGACGTAGTTTTCAGTCACCATCAGGTCCAGAGTCCCCACCACGTACCTGAGACACAGAGACAGACGTGAGGGGGGGGGGGACAGACACATGTCCACTGGTGTGTGTGTGTGTGTGTGTGTGTCTGCACCTGAACAGGTTGTCCATCACGTACGCGTATTTCTCCAGACTGTTCTGCGGCAGGAAACAGGAGGAGAACACGATGATGTCATTCATCCCATCTCCATAGTAACCTGTGAGGACACACCGGGGGTGAGTCTCCAGGGATGTCCACTGACTCCGCCCCCTTTCTCCATCAACCATCATGTCCTACCTCCGTGGGACAACACGGGCAGGAAGGGCTCCAGGACACTCATGTTGACACGGCTCTCCTGTGGGGGGTCGCCGGTGGAGAAACAGCGCCACCTGGTTCCCTGGCTGTCCAGCATGTCCTCACTTTCCAGAGAGACCTCGTGACGGAAGCTGCCACGGCAACGCCGGCGAGGATCCGAGGACACGCCCAAACCCCGTAAGTCATCTGGAAGTCGAAGAAAAAGTTTTAAAAAAATATATGAAAAACTTGAGCTAGCAAGAATTGGACTTCCAAGTTCTGTTTTCTCACCTTCCAGGTCGTAGATCGGGAACGGTAACGAATCGCTGTCGGAAGGCGTCTCAATGGCATCCAGGTCAATGTCCAGTGTGTCATCATCATCTTCGGGTGACAGGAAGTCGTTGGAGACGGCCGAGTCACTTTGATCTGACCAGGCCGAGCATTAACATAATAGCATAGCATAATAGCATAATTAGCACGCTAGCATTAGCACGCTAGCATTAGCATGTTAGTGGACAGATCCAAGCTTACCAAGAGACAAACTGAGAGCTGGAGCAACTAGAACCTTCTTCTGTCTCTGCCGGGGTTGAGAGGCTGACGCCGACAAGTTGAGACTGGTGGGCGGAGCTAAAACAGTGAATGACAGGTGACACTTCCACATATTGGATGGAGAAGAAGGAAAAGAAGAAACCGAAGTAGTGAAACTGAAAGAGGAAGATCACGTAGAAGAAAACCAGGTCACCTGGTCTGAGGTCCACGTGCTTCACAGCGCCATCTTCAGACAAACAGAAACAGGAAATGTGATTTCATGGACTTTCAGAGTGAGAACACGGAGACGGACCAGGATCTTCACCTTGTTCAACCCCAGCAGTGGCTCCTCCCACTACATCGTCATCATCGTCTCCAGCACAGGCTCCTCCCACCTGACCTTCACCTTCTGTCCCATCTCTGACCCGACCCACACATGTGTCACGGTCCCCTGGTGCCCCCCCGCCGTTACCTTCAGTTCCAACAGAAGCTCCTGCGTCCTCCTCGTCTGAAACGGTTCCAAAGGACAGCATGAAACTACGGATGCATTGATGACATCACTTCCTGTGAAGACTGTGAGGTTGAACCGCGTCGCGTTCGGATGTTGACACAGTGTGAACATTTGACGATTTAAAACTGAAACAGAGACTGGTACCTGCTCGACCAGCAGAAGAATCTGCGTTAGCATCTGCAGGTGTAACACCACTCATCGTCCTGATGGTGGTGCTGAGGTTCCCTTCCAACACTCTGTGCCTGCGAACAGAAACATTAGGTTTCCAGTCCAAGTTTTTCTTTCACCCTAAAAGAACAGCTGCAGTAACATCAAACTGTCATTGGTCTGTTTGCAGACGATGCTGTCGTTTCTCTTTGTTACGCTACAACCACAGAATATCATAACATTATTTCTGTATCATGAATCAATCGATGACATGGATTTTTTTGGTCATTTTTGGTGAATGGTTATGCAAATTTTCCGGACGATGAAACCTAGGGCGCAAACTCAGCCAAAGAAGGAAAAAAAAGTGCGACTTGTAGTCCGGAACATACGGTTTCACACAGTCTAATAAAATAAATGAAAATTAAATGAATGAATTTGAGGTGTCTTCTGGGTAAAATAACGTCCTCGTCGTGGAAGAATTGTATTCTTTCAAATTGTATTGTTCGATTAAAGACGTCTTCTTTATTATCGTTAATCTTTTCTTCATAAATGACGTCATGAAAAAGACAGACGCAGAAAACAGCTTTTCTGTCCAGGTTGAAAAGCTAATGTTTTGTTTGTTAGCTCACATGAGCGCTACTGGTGTTTAACATCTCTAACTAACCTAACTAACAGAACTAACCTAGTTCACGGAGCTGGTAAATCAGTCAAGATCATGTTGACAAACACGGTTATAAATGTATATGAAACGACTTTGGAAGATCGTTGTTTCCACGAGCCAATGTAGCTTAACGTTAGCATCGCTCCACCACCGTCACATTGACTAAAAGGTTAGAAATCAGAGTCCGTTCAATAATGTCAAGGTAAAGCAGCAGAGTGAACCTTGACCTGGGGGCGTGGTCTTCTGCTGCTTCCTGTCTGGACTCTGTGTTTGTTGATCACCTGCAGAACAGACGTTTGACGCCCGACAGATGCTGCCGTGACAGACACAGACACAGACACACAATCTCAAAGGTAATCAGATTACTTTGGGTTGACATTTACCTGAACTGTTCGAGTCCGTCCACGTACTTCAGTCCGCCCGCGGACGTGTCTCAACCCACGTGTTGAATCACCTTCATTCACACAGAAGATGGTGCAGACGGCCGACTCGGCGCTTCGTCAGGATGAGAACGACAGTTGAGGAAGAGACGGGTGAGACGGGTGAGACGGTCTGAGGACCTGGAGACTCACCTGATGACATCACACACTGGACTCTGATTCCTCACCGCTGTCTGTGTCTCTGTGTGTGTGTGTGTGGGTGTGGTCTGTCGCTGCCGTTTAAAGGTGTTGTAACTGCAGTGACTGGGTGTGACTGTGGCGGCGGCGCAGGTGGGCGGGGCCTGGAACATGTTCTCACCTGCTGAAGAGATACAGAAACAAAATGACATGACATTTCTGGAGACAGTTGACTGTGGGAATGTGTAGGAACAGACCGGAACAGAATGGAATGTGTGAGAAATAACGTCTTCCTTGAGAGACATGAGAGATGAGAAGCTAACTTAGCTTGTCTTACTGTCCAGCTCACACTCATTAAAGCACGTTCCTGGTCACTACCTCCGACTGAATGACTTTCAGTCTAACTAGATCCACGTTGCTACCTCTCACCTAGTATTTCAATTTAGACGGCTTCCTTGTTAGGCCACGCCTTCTTTACTTTTAAATATTCTTGTTTTTCCCCCTTTTCCTTCTTTTCTTTCCCATGTCCTCCATTTCCACTTTTTCATCCTCCGGAAATCCCAAGATTTCACTCAGAAGAATCGAAAAGAAGCCGGAAGGCAAAGAAGAAGAAAAGAAACCGTTTAGAACCAAAAACTCCCAGAATGCAGTGCGCTGACTCAACGAGTCCGTAACACACCAGCGCCACCTGTTGGTTCACAACGGACACACACAAAAAAGCATGAAAGGAATCGAGCTTTTTCCTTTATACTCTTAGATATTTTATTCTGTGACTTTGATTTATTCAAGTTTAAACTGTCTTATACTTCGCACGTTATCTTTTACATTTAAAATATACAACACTCCGGACTTTTAAGTTTAAGTTTCCTTGTCAACGTTTCCGGTCAGGCTTATTTGGAAGAAGATTTCCTCACCTTGCAAATTTCACAGCGCGGACACTAAAAACATTGTACCAATTGAGTGTACCACCCGTTTGGGCCGCCCTGTCAGACAAAAGCAACGCACCCGGCGGCGGTGACTGGCACAGAGAGGAAAGCACAGGGTGAAGTTACAAAACTATGTTTTTTCTTGTCTATTTACTAACGAAATACGCTGGAAAAGTAGCCATCGTTTATATTTGAACCGGTTTGTAAAACGTCAGGTGAATTTCAAGAAAATATTATGTCAATTTATGCATTTTACGACAACTTTTCAAATTCCTTGAAGTCACAAAAAGCTTTACTGTGAAAAATCTTAATGTTTTCAACACAGTATATTACCTTACGATGACTGTAGTCCACAGGATAATAGATTTTAAAACAAATTTTGATGTGTTTTTGTGTTAATTGTTGTGTAGCCGCACTGATTTACGTGTCCTTAACGTCGAGGGTTAAAAAAGTCGACACAAACATATACATAACTGTTATTTTTTTTTGCGAAAATGATTGATGTATTCTACAAATGATTTTTAAATGAGCTTCCGAGACGTCATAACTAGCAGGTTCCTTGGCTAATTTCGGGGAGTGGGCGTCAGAGGGCGTAATGACGTAGTGTTAGGCACGTCAAATGTTTAAAAATAAAATATTTTCTCTCGCCTCTAGTTCTGACTTGATTTTGTGTTGTTACTAATCGTGTTTTACTAAAACGTATCGTGGAATGAATTGGAAAATAACTAACGCAGAGGTAATAACGTTAAACATACGACGTGATGACGCACTAGTCAGTACGCAGTAGTGGGCGTGGTCTGTAGCTCTAGAATGTAAACAGCCTGGTGTGTGTACAGTAGTTTGTCTGTGACTGTGCGTGGATGTGTTTGTTGTCGTAAAACTGTGTGTCGTTAAAATACGAGTCAACAAAAAAAAGAACAAAACAAGCGTCACATTGTTCGTCTAAAATCGCGGCTCTTGTTCTGGCTTCTCCGCGTCGTGTTTTCGGTAAGAACTTTGAATCAGTGCCGGTCTACAGGAAGTCAGCTAGTTTAGCTCAGAGTTAGCCTCAGCCCAGTTAGCTCTGCAGCAGAAAGAAGCTTAAAGCTGATCTTCTTTCTGACTTCCTGTTGACGTCACATACCTCACACTCTCTTCTACAACATCATGGTTTTAAGTAAGAAATTATTCTTCAACCAGATCGTTCATTTTAATTACACGACTAAATAATTAAACGGATTGGATTGGATCCACAGACTAGTCCTTCCTCACTACTTTATCCAGACAGCCATGTAATCCACAAAGTTTAGAAACCTTTCACTTTCCCAGACTTGAGAGTGATTTTAGCGGACACAGACGGACACAGACGTTGTTGGTTTACTGCTGCCTCATTACAGGGCTCAAATACGACAGTTGTTGATGACCAAGAAGACCGGAAGCTTCTCGTCTTTGCTAGCTAAAACTGATGATTTTCTTTGGTTTTCCCCTTATCCTTAGAATAAAAGCTCTGCCTTTGTTTGTTTATTTTGTCTGTTTTGTTGTCGTCTCTCCTCATGACCGTCTTGTCTGTCCCTCAGGAGACGCCGACACAGAATTCCGGACCTCCACGCTTTGAAAGTCTAGTTATTGCTTTGGTGGAACCACTGATTGTTTTGAAGAACCGGTGATGTCCATGTGGCAACGGTCTGTGTTGTGATGGTTAGTGTCACGGTGTAGGCTTCCTGGCCCCGCCCCTTTGGACACTTCTGTCTTTCCTGTGGGACATATTTTTTTCTTTACCGATCCTCTGACCATGTCAGAAGCTGGGGCTCCAGAACCTTCCACAGAACCGCCTGTTACTGCAGCAGCAGAGGTGGCTGCTCAGAACAGCAGGGACACAGGCAGCTCAGAAGGCCTGAGGACGATGACCGACGAGACAACACCAGTGATGAGGGCATCTGAGAAGACCTCCACAGAAGAAGAAGAAGACGACGACAAGTCCTCATCTGTGTTGCTGCCACAGGAGGAGGCCCAGGTGGAGCAGAGCAAAGGTGGAGACAAGGGGAAGAACCCAGAATCCAACACCACAGAGTTTGATTCATCAGGTCTGGACAATATGTCGCCTCTAACTTTGGTTTTGGTTTTTGTTTGTCATTTCTTTGGCTCCTCAGACCTGGACCTGGACAGGGAGAGCTCATCAGGACCCGAAGGTTCAGGGTCAGAATCTTCGTCCGTCTCGATGCCGAGTCTGGATCTGGAGCTGGATGACGGACTGTCCTCCTACCTCGCCGCTGCAGGCGAAGACGTAGGTGCGTCCACCGGCTCCCATGATGTGAAAGACGCCGAGACGCTGCAGGCTGAAGGTGAGGCGCCCCCTACTTTCTTTTGTTGGTTTTGCGTGTTATTTTCTACAGACTTACTGAGGAGTCACGCTGTGTCCTGCAGGGGGAAGCACTGCTCCTCTGGCTCCTCTGGCTGCTGATACTGCGCCCTCTGCTGGTGCTGTTGGAGCACCCCATGAGGCTAGACCAGAGTATTACATGGTGAAGTGGATCACGTGGAAGGAGAAGAAGACGCCCATCATCACACAGAGCGAGAACGGACCCTGCCCCCTGCTGGCCATCATGAACACACTCTTCCTGCGCTGGAAGGTAAAGCTGAAGATTAAAACCACAGTCGAAACAAGAAAATCATTTTGTTGTTGTCAAAAACCTAACTGTGTGTGTGTGTGTGTGTGTGTGTGTGTGTTTTCAGGCCCGTCTTCCCGCTCAGACTGATGTCATCACCACTGAAGAACTGATGAGTCACCTGGGTAAGAAGAAGAAGAAGAAGGAGGAGGAGGAGGAGGAGGAAGAATCTGAAGACATTTGATCAAAATCCTAACAAATCTGTGTGTGTGTGTGTGTGTGTGTGTGTGCAGGGGAGTGTGTGTTGTCTGTTACACCAAGAGAGAAAACTGATGGGATGGAGCTCAACTTTCAACAGGTGAACACACACACACACACACACTTTACTGTAGTGTATGTCATACTGCTTTGTTTTATATTAGCTTTAAAATGTAATGTGTGTGTGTGTGTGTGTGTGTAGAACATGACTGATGTCATGGCCGTCCTCCCTAAACTGTCGACAGGCCTGGATGTGAACGTTCGTTTCACAGGGGTGACAGATTTTGAGTACACACCCGAGTGCATCGTCTTTGACCTGCTGGACATTCCTCTGTACCACGGCTGGCTCCTCGACCCACAGGTTTGTAGCCCACACCAGCAGAAGGCACGACAGTTATATTTAAACATCATTACGCAA